TCAATGCCACGTAGAATTAAGGCAGTTCTGAAGGCGAAAGGGGGTCAAACACCGTATTAGTATGGTGTTCCTAATAATCCTTTAGGTGAGTGTAGAGTCTCTCTGGGTACCTTGATATCATCTGGCTATCCAGTTCAGAACCAGGAAGATGAAGTGTCCCTTGGTTTGTGACTGTGCACATGTTTGTTCAGATGCGTACACCTGTGCATGTTCAGGTGCCTGGGAAGGCTTTAGGGTAATCTCTGGGTGACCCCATCCCTCACTCGATGCTGTTACCTTGGTTTTCACATCCTTCTTTCTGTCTCGCTTGGGAAAAACGGGTGCAGCTGCAGCTCCTGACGAATGGTAGGTGCCTGACAGACCATGTGACAGCTCTGTGAAATGTAATTATGACCCAGAATCCCCCTGGACCTACCCGAAGTCCCCAGTGTGCGTCTGCACACGGTAGATGGAAGTCGCACAACATGTGTGGTTCTGCTGGCTGTGCTTCTTTTTTTTTTTAATTAGGCTTCTTACCTATAGCCCTCAGATGGACAGTGCCTGACGCTGTGAATGCCGTGTTCTGCTTTATTCGGACGTTAGCTGATGGCCAAATTGAGCCATGGTTTCTTGAGCAAACACACATCAGCGGCATTGGGTACTGGTAATTGATTTCCACATGCCTTCCCTGGGCTGAGGCATCGACATGGTGCCATTTCCCTACCCAATGAGAAATGGTCCTTCTGGTAGCCCTGCTGGGACATGGGATTTCGCCGAGCCTCCACTGTCTCACATGCTCATTACAGTTTCATGGGTCCTAAATGGCTCGTTAGCTTAGCACCCATGAATTAAAGATGCACGGCATTAAAGTCTTCAAGCCAGGTACCCCCAAGGTGGCCAGAGAGAATCCCTGCTTGTCAGAGAAACATTTCCAGCGATTGGGGGTGATCTCGTCCCAGCTCTCACCATCCAGGGAGGCAGGCCAATCGTTTCAACCAGGCTGTGCGAAATCAGTTAATTGGTTCATTTGTTTTTATAGCTGGAACTTCCAACAGAGCGATTCAGGTGTAGTAATTTGCAGAAAGGAGTAACAGCAGAAGTCTTGTCAATCCAGTTGAATCCGTGATGGTTTCCACACTAGTCCGGACAGTGAATATAAAGCGTCCTCCACAATTATTGGCACCCCTTGTAAAGAGCGTTAGAAAAAATCCAGCTTTTGATGAAGCAGCTTCATCTCATACTTAAAAAATTTGAAAAATCCAGCATTTCATTGAAATAAATCTATTCAAAGAGAAACAAATCCTTCATCCATCAAGAAATAATTATTTTTAACAAAAACACATGTGCCAAAATTATTGGCACCCCAGCATTTAATACTTTGTACAACCTCCCTTTGCCAGTATAAAAGCACTGAGTCTTCTCTTATAACATTTTAAAAGGTTAGAGATTACCAAGCAGGGCATCTGAGACCGTTCCTCTTTACAGAATCTCTCTAGATCACGTAGGGTTCTAGGCCCTCTCTTGTTCATTCTCCTTTTCAGCTCAGGCCACAGGTTTTCGATGGGGTTCAGGTCAGGGGACTGAGGTTGCTTCGGGAGAAGCTTGATTCTGCGGTCAGCTAACCATTTTTGTGTGCTTAGGATCACTGTCCTGATGAAACATCCAGCGATGTTCCAGTTGTAGTTTCCAAATCTTGATTTAAAATGTCCTGGTCGATTTTTTATTTTTTTTTGCCGCTCTCACAATCCTCCTTACTGTATGTTGGGGCAAAATAAACTTGGGTCCTCCATGCAGGTTGATGTCCACTTTTTATTATTGCCCGAACAGTAGAAATGGGCATTTTCAGGTCTAGCTATTTTGTTTTTTATACCCATTCCCATTCCCAACACACTTCTCCCTCATTTGGTTTGTGTGTTCTTTAATCTTTCCCATGTTGATGGATGACTAAGGGGATTTAGCCTCTGTCATCTTATATTTGTACCCTAGTTAATCAGGAAGTCATGGATTACAGCTCGAAGGTTCCTACACACTCCTATGAACTAAATGGAGTGCAATTTACATGGGGAACATGCTTCAGTTACATTGTGTTCACTATAATTTCCAGGGGTGCCAATAATTGTGGCATATGGAGCCCCTGAAGGGACGTGTGCAAGAAAATAAAATGATTTAACTTTCGCGTACGCATGAGATATTTTCGCGTGTGCACCAGATACTTTTGCACACAAAAGTAAACTGACAGAAACAGGGAAACCGAACCTAACGCTGGGGAATAAAAGACAGGCAAAAACACAATCACTGACACAAAAGCAAAAACCAAAACCAAATACAAGTTACAAAACACAAGAACTAGAAAACTGATACAAACAAAACACACGGGAACAAAATCTACAAAAATGCAAAAACAGAGGAGGTGGGATTTGAACACAAGACTGAGGGGGTTGATAGGTAGCCACATGCTCAGCTGATTGAGGGAAGCAGGGGAAGCACTAAAGACTAACAACGGGGAGAACAGGATGGCCAGCGACACCTGCTGGCCAAACGGGGAGAAGACGAAAGACTGAGACAAATAGGTACTGACCCTGACAAACCCATTTCTCAACTTATGCTTCTGTGTAAAATATACATTTTTTTTGTAAACACCATCCTGGCTCTTCTCTGTTTCACATTGATGAAGGGCTTCCTTGCTTTATGGGACTTCAGTCCTGCTTCTAGGAGCCTGATACAAACTTGTCCTAGCGTGCACTACACACCACTTAATATTTCCTAATACTTTTGAAGGTCATTTGAAGTCATCATCTGATTCATGAGAAACTGTCAGAAAAGTTAATAGTCATCTCTGCCATTAGAAAGTCGCTTCTGCCCTTTACTTGGCTGGTTTCTGGTCATTCCCAGTGTCTCCTGCTTCACCTTATTCTTCTGTACTGCTGTCGTAGAAACTTTGAGCCTGGAAGCAGCCTGCCGCTCAGTGTAGCCTTGTGCCAGCAGACCGAGGATTAAACCAGGATTAAACAATGCAGACTTTTAAAAAAATATGGAGTGGTCTCTTAATTTTTTCCAGAGTTGTAAGGTCTGACGTCGATTAGCATGACTGCGAAGAACTACAGTTTAGAAACACACTGCAGTTGATCTTTGGGTCAGAACAACAGTGTTGCAGAAGGAAGACATGATGCTTACGGCGTAAACAAAGGGCAGTTTGTACCAGGAAATTGCACACGGGTGAAATGGAGCGGAAAGCCAGTGAGGGAGCGCGTCCTATGCTGATAGTATTATGAGGTATTTCACGGCGCCTGCCTCCTGGACTCTGTGTGTTTTTCTGAGGCCGTGAGATGCCAGCGGGGTATCACCCTGGGTCTCTTTGCCCTTCTGAAACATTTATCTTGCGTAAACTCCCTTGTTCCCCCAGGTGAGGATGACAGCCTCGCTCTCAAGCAGAAGGTTTCTGTGGAGCACATTTTCAGCAAGGAGTTCAACGTCCATGACCCCGACGCCAAGTGGATTAGCGGTGAGTGAGGTTCAGACACCATAGGCAGGTGTGAGGTACGAGCAGACGTGGGTCATTAAGAGTAATTATGAGTGTTTGGGTCATAGTGGGGCTGTAATGAGAGAGCATGGTGTATTGTGTGTGAACCAGTGAATCCCTCGTTGGCGTTGAAGCTGAACTTGAGGGTACGTGCAAGCGGCAGATCTCTGCGTGGCTGGTAGGTGATTCAAAGAGCCCTCAGATCTCCATACAAGATGCATGGCAAACGTAAATGTCTATGCCTCTGGGGAGTGACTGAGCAGTGCTTGGCACCATGGGCCAGAGTATCGCTCAGCTTTATTGTCCTTTCCTCCTGTCTCCTCATTCTTGTTCTCCTCCTCAATCCCCTTCCTCCTCTTCGTCCTCGTCACTCCTCTCGTTCTCCCTACTTCCCCTCACTTCCCTCCTCCATCCTCATTCCTTTTCTTCCTCCTTCCCCTCCTCCTCATCCTCCCTCCCCCTCTTCCTTATCTCCTTGTCGTTCCCCGTTCCCCCTCCTCCTCCTTGCTCCTCCCACTCCTCATTTCCCCTACTTCTCCTCCCCCCCACTCCACCTGCTCCTCACTCCCCCTCACTTTATCACAGCTCCCAGCCTGACACATGGCCCGGTCGAGTTGAAAGCGGAAATTGTCCCTTTTCATTGTGCAGTTTTTCACACTCACTTCAGCTGTGTCCTCAGAAGGCTGCTAGGGCTTGGAGGGTGTGGAGGCACCTCACCTCGACGGCACATACGCAGGTAATTACGGGGCTGCGGAGGGGGAGAGAAGCCCCACCCGGGAGGACACCCCGCGGTTAAAGCCCCACTTTGGTATCTAAATCACCAGGCTAATGCTACCATTGCCAGTACAAACACTGACTCAGGGTTTTATGAGCACTTAATTTCTGGTTTGACATTTAAAATTCCTAATAGATCATCTGGGGTGATCGAGCCGTAGCTGACCAGGCATAACAGTTTCACTGGCTCAAATAGCTGCTGTAAGCAGCTTCTTCCTCATTCCCCCTTTTTATATGCACCTTCTGAGTCGCTGATATTGAGCTTGTCCCGTCTGCAGCAGCAACAGAAAGTAGGCTGTTTGGCTATTTATGACTTTTTTCCTTTATTACTCCTGAGTTATTGATTTTCTACATGAGTAGGGTGACTCTGTCATAGCTTTGCCACTAGAATATTCCGGGGGATCCACGAAATGGAAGCTTCTGGAAAGACCTAGAGCACAGTAGATGGACACTCAGAGCAGAGCTGACATAGTGATTCCTGATCGAAATTATTGGTTTTCTTATCTGGCTGGCAGCGTATAGGTATGGATTGCTGGTGCTCACCATTTTGCCAGACACAGGTGAAAATGTATTTTTAGATCTGAGAGCTGAGAGCAATGTAATCCCCCCCCCCCCACACACACACACACCCCCTGCTCTTTCTTGCCCATCAACCAGCGTCAATTTATCACCGTTTCTGCCTTTCGTTGTCTGGCAGCTTGTGATGAATCCACAGAGAGGCGTTCCTCTCGCGTTTCTCTGCGTCTCTGCCTTGCATTGTCGCGGGAGTCATTAATGGTGTGTGTCAGAGTTCTTCTGAGAGATCTGTCGCTGTTTAATGGTTAATATATGCTGTGCTTTTTTAAACTCGTAACTTGGTTGTCCCCGTGGCTATCACAGAAAACTCCAGCGAGAGATGCTGAATAGCTGAATAGCACTCAAGAGGGAACAAAGGGTGTATCTGAAATTTTGGCTGTCTGTCTTTAAGCCAGGATGGTTCTATCTCGGATGTAATGAGAGAGATAGAGGGTGAAGGAAAACGATTATGGCTGCTCACGTCCGTGTGTCATTTATCTCTGATTCCCTCGCTTCCAACGGCTGCCTATAAAAAGTGTCACCAGTTTATCTGAGGGACAGAGTGATGACGGTAGCGAGTGTCACGTTATCAACCCCAAATATGTGTCTCTAGCTGAATTCTGCCCTTTCCCCAAATCACTGAGCAACAAGCCAGCAAAGAGGATTTCCCAGAGCGTGAGTGTTTTAGGATACTTCCATCTGCAGTTTGTTTCTCTGATTTGACTCTGGAAGTGTCCCTGTGCTGTAGCAGGCAGAAAGGAGAACGGTAAACATAATCCATCCATCTTCCCTAAGCACTAACCCAGAAAACGGGTCACAGTGCATCTGGAACCCATCCCGAGAAAAACAGGGCACAATGCAGGAGACATGCTGGATGGGGTGCCAGTCTGTCACAGGAACACGTGGAGGAAACCCATGCAGACACTGCAGGAACCGTGCAACCTCCACACACACACACACACACACACACACACACACACACACACAGAGAGCCGCGGGCAGGAAGCCAGCCCAGATCCCTGGAGGTGCTAAAACATAAATGTGCCATAAATTTTTTATGCGTACCTGGGGGTGCAGATTGCCATGGTCCTTGAATACAGACTTAAATTAGATCTGTATAATATGTTCACTCATCAGCGGGATCAAAACAGGCAGAATAAACCAGAATATGAAGCAGCTTTTATAATAATAATCATTAAATATTAAACAGAGGTTTTTCAGCTAACTACTGGGCATCAGTGAGCCCTCAAGCAAAGGTGGCCCTTTCAAGGACAGAGCAGGACAGGGCTGCTTAGCTGGCTGTCACCTGCTGATGATGTCATTGGTCTAAAATGAACCAATCAGGGCTTGGCCCCACATTCTGGTAATGCCGTGAAGTCGAAATTCTCTGGCTGGCTTGTTTGGGCTATTTTCATAGTGGGCTACAGGTTTGATACCAATGACAAAATGTCATTTACCAATCGGATCGCCTTTTTATTAGTTTGGGATTGGTTGCTGTCGGACTGGGTTTGCTCTTAGCCTCATCAATTGGTATAGAAAACTAGCCAATGATTAATAGGTCCAAAATGTTAAAGCCCCTTCACAGCATGAAGTGCAGCGTTTGATGTAATATGTGTAATTGGCTGGGGGAGCCTCAGGAGCCCCTTGGGATATATCACGTGTGAGAGGCAGATTCCTTTAACATGGCAGCCTAATGAAACTGAGTCATTATTATCTACCTGAATTTTCCTTATGCTTCAGACCCTGGTAAGTGAAGGTTAGCAGGTGCAAACAGTTCATTTAAATCCCTGCCACCGGTTACCTGACGGCCGGGGAGGTGTGTGTGTGTGTGTGTGTGTGTGTGTGTGTGTCTGTGTGTGGGGGGGGGGGTGGTTCAGAGTGTTTGTGGTCCAAGCAAGATGTGAATCGCTATGTGCGAAACAGGCTCCAGCTTTTCCAGCTAGACCCTTTACCTGCAACTGGGAAATGTGGACATGCATTGTGGGAAATGGTGCGTGTAATCCCCTCCCTGATAGGGTCCACTCGTCTGTCAGCCGAAGAGATCGCGGCAAGGAAAAAGCTAACAGCCTGACAGATTTATGGAAATGTGACCCAGACCACCGGGGAAATGCTGGGCTTGTGTTTTCATCGCAGTACTGACATGCACAATGATGAATAACTGACATAAGTTAGTGTGAATCACATTCCTGGAAAAATATCCATTCCGTGTGACTTGGTACAGCGTCCGTGGCATATTCAGAACATGCATGTATGATTAGCAAAAACATTATTAGACTAACAGACACATGACTAGCAGCTTGAGAACCTATTAGCCATGATGAGCAGTTGTGACAGGATCTGGATGTTAACTCTGTTTCCAGCCAGAGGGCTCCCCCTAGTGGGGAAGTCACACAACATCCGGTTCACATGGAAATGCTTGCAAATAAAAGACCAAACTGAATGTGTTTCTCCATTGACAGTTAGTGGCTCAGGGAGCACTGCCACCCTGAATGCTTTTGTCTTTTCTAATCGATGCTGCTTTGTGCCTCCAGTGCTGTGGTGTCAGTCTCCGGTTAGTTGTTAGCTTAACCCACTGAAGCGACTAAAGCTAGGAGAAGCTGAATATGCAGGTTGCGTGGTCAGATGTCAGGCTCAGCCACAAACAGGAATATTCATTAATATTGTGCAGAAGATGATAACAGCAAGGAAAAGTTGCCACGCTGGGATAGGGAGTTACTGGTAGCCTAGGTTTTCCATGGGGGGGGGACTTCTAGGGCCCCACAGAGGGGCGCGGAGCTAGAGCACCAACGCACAGGGGTGGGTGCCGATGCCTACATGCTAATGTCTGCTGCCTCTGGTCCTGCCATATGTCTGCGTGGAGGATGCTCATCTCGCTGACATCCTGCCGTCCGCCGCGGGGAAACGCAGTAACGAGCCCCACCGCCGCTCCAGCGGTTGGGTATTTCACGCTCAGTAAACGGCGTGATTGTTTCCTGTCAGATGGCACACATTTGTCTGGGGAATACAGTGCAGTTCTCAGGACCGGAATGATGCATCTATTCGCATATTTACATGTAGCCATAAAATGCAATTTACTGACTCATGAAGGCTTGACACACATTTTCATGTTCGATAACATGTTAGCGACGTGATCCATTTAAAACTGATGAATATGGGACTGTTTCCACGGTATTGACATGTTAGCACCATGATCTGTTTAAAATGATGATTAACATGGGACTGCTTGCATGTTCGATAACATGCTAGCACTCTAACCTGTTTAAACTAATGAAGGATCATGACTATTTTCATGTTAATGACACATTAGCATCGTAATCTGTTTAAACAATGACAGACACGTGACCGCCATCATGTTACTGACACATAAGTAACGTGATTTGTTTAAAGCAACGTCAGACATGTTAGTTTTTCATGCTAATAAAACATGAACTGTTTAAAATAACGACAGACACGTGACTATTTCCATATTAATGATGTGCTGCCATTGTGATCTCTTTAAAACAATGACAGACAATTGACCATTTTCTTATAAATGGCACATTAGCACCGTAATGTGTTTAAAATGATGATGGACCCTGACTGCTTCCATGGTAGTGAAACATTTGCACCAGGATCTTTTTATAATAACGAGGGACACATGACTGTTTTCATGTTAATGACACGTTAGTTCCTGTTTCAAATGCCGATGGATACGTGACTGTTTTCATGTTAATGACATGTTAGTTCCTGTTTCAAATGCCGATGGATACGTGACTTTTCATGTTAATGACATGTTAGTTCCCGTTTCAAATGCCGATGGATACGTGACTGGTTTCATGTTAATGACATGTTAGTTCCTGTTACAAATGCCGATGGATACGTGACTTTTCATGTTTTCAGGCTCCTCAGTTGATGCCCCTGCCAGCAAAAGTCTGTGGCATAAATAAACGATGGTGGCAATTAAAGACTGAGCCCTGGCACTCAGCTGGGGGGGGGGGGGGGGGGTGCTCTGAAGCTGAGGAACATGGAGCATTGTTTTAAGCGGACGGTTTACTGGCGGCCAAGGCACTTGTTTGGGGCACGTGCTGCGGTTAGTGTCCCTGTTCTGGCGCTGGTGCCGTTGATTGTTTCTTTCTTTCCAACCTTTGATACACAAATCATTTTAGAGAGGAAAACAAGAAACACGAGGTTACTGGCATAATGCCAAAATGTGTTTCTTTGCTTGTACTGTGTTGTATAGTTTTATCTGTTTTCACCATTATATGTGCCCTTCTCTTAAAAGAACCCGGGAACTACAAGTGAAATCTACCCTTTTAGCTAACGCTGGCCTATTTACAGCAGTGTTGTTTACACCCATTGACACTGTCAACAAACCAATAAAGAAACAGTCAAGGATTACATTAAAATAAGTTTTTAGTCTCATACAAACTGGTGTACAGGAAGGTACAGCCTGGAGTAGGTGTACAGGCCCTAATTACTTCAGCCTCACTATGCCAAAGTTTCCTGGGGGGAGGGGGGGGATTGCACGATCCTGATTACACTGTGTTTCAGTCCGGGAGCGGAAACAAAGTTGCTATTTGAGTACCTCTGGCCTGGACAGATTATCTGGAAAAAGATGAGATCCTGTATCTTGGAAAGACCCCCAATTGGATGTTTATAATGACTTGAGGTTAATACCTATAGTGATTAATACTATTATCATTGTCATGATTGTGCTATGCTGCCCCGCAAGTGTCTGGCACTGCTGTCTGCCCGCAGGAGTATTTCAATGAGAGTAAATATGACATGGAATATGAAAATACGCTCCATGTGGAAAATGGCTTACATTCTGCCTCTAGGCTTGGTTTCACTTTGAATATGGCAGCCATCACCCTCACCAGAATGTACACAGTGTTCCTGTATGTTCTTATGCTTTTTTAATCTTCCTGTCGGACTGGCATCCACACCCACATCACATTCACATGACCAACACTCCGCATGTCTGATAATCGCCGATGGTGCATTAGGTGTTCCCTCACACATTGAATGTCTCTGTTTTCATGTCATTTTCGTGATACATAATTTATAGTCTAATGGTTTATTCAGTGTGGTCACCATTTGAATCTGAAGTTGATGTTAAATGATTTCTGTTTTTGGCACGCAAGCCACAAATGGTAGACTTTGAGTTTGGCCTAAATCAGGTGCCTGAGTCCTTTTTTTATTAGAACCCCACCCCCTCCCAGCAGTCCCCCCACACACATTGTTAGTCCAGTAAGCCCATTTTCACTTGTGCGTATCCCTGATGAGAGTCATGAGTGCAGAACATTTATTTGTGGGACATGGGGGACAATGGTAAATGGATTTATGCAGTAACGCACCTGTTTTCATTACCATTTGCGCCGTATGCAAAGCCTCTCTGAGCTCCACTTTGGTGATTTGGGGATGCTCTGGATTGCCACCGCGGATAACCATGAACCTGATGGAGGACCTTCTCACCAAGCCATTAAGAAAAGATTGAGCAGCGGTGGGTCTGAATCGCCCTCGGCACTGTGTACCGAGACGTGAGGGAAACTCAAACCTTGAGCTGTTTTATAGTTTGAATTGAATCAGACCTTTAAACACAATAATATGAGTTACACCCGTGTTCTGGGATGAACAAAAGTCATTCTTTTTGACTAGCTGGAGCTTGACAGATATAATAAAACTGCTCAAATGTGCGGTGGGTTTAATTAAAGGCCTGTTGAAATTTTTATTAATCCATTTCTTTTTATAGTACTTTTTCACCAGCGGGCACTTGAGATTTAAGGAGGCAACACAGCCGGCAAAAAGGCATTTTTATTTGTTGCTGATGGCTTCTATATCCCTCCCCGAGAGCCGCGTTTAGCTGGGTCGGCTTCAACATGCGTGTCCACGCACCGTTTTGCAAGATGAAGGTGTGCAGTGTGAATTGGTTGGGCTCACAGCATCAGGGTTTCTGGATTGTGAAGATGAATTTGCTCTGGCTGAAAGGTGTGGGGGGTGCTGTTTCCTCACTGGTCCAGGGTTGAGGGTTTGAATCCCACCCCTCTGTGTGTGCAGTTTGCACACTAGCCCCCTATTTCCGCTGGATACTCTGGTCCCTACACATAATCCAAGGCAGTTGGAGCCCATGACGTCCCATCCTGAGTCTCCCTTGCCCTCTGCTGCCAGGAACAGGCTCCCTGTAATGGTCAGCAGCTGGAAGGTGGATGCGATGCAGGAAAGGTGAGCTCAAGCCACGAATCACACAGACTGGAAGTGGGGGTCTGGAAGAGGGGCTGATGGTTCACCAAGTGATAGCGGGTTTAGCGGTTTGCACAGGGCAGTTACCTGGTTTAACGGAGCCACTGCCAAAGATTTATGGGTTAAACGCCGGTGGGAGTTTAATTGGGATCTTGCAGGGCTAATGTAAGGTAGCATGAAGGAGGGCACACTGACGCTTTAAGCGGTTTCTATATTTTTTTACTTTCAGCCATGCCTGTCTCTTTCATTAAAATGAAATGAAGCCTTTATTCTCACTGTGAATTTCTCATGGCTTTGGGCAGGATAATTGATGGGGCCCATTCGCATGGATCCAGAGGCCGGAGTTTCCAGGCGCATGGGGGAAATGAAACCTTAGGGGTGGGGGGGGGGTCGGTGAATCCTGTAGGTCTGCTCTCTTCTGGAAATAAGATTGACTGACATCAATGGGGAGACAGTGTGAAGTAGGGAAGTCAGGAAGTCAGGTGTCATGTGACCAGGTCTTGCCAATAGGTTGCCTGAGGGCGATTGCCAGCGGTCACACTATAACGAGTGTGCTGAAGCCAGCGGGGGGGGGACCTGGCACACGCTGTGGAGGGCGATAGAGGGAAGAGAGGAGGCTGAGGGAGAGACAGGCAGGAGATCTGGAGGCAGATAATGAGGGTGTGGCCTTGACTTTTATAGGGCAGCTAAGAGGCTGTGGATAGTGACTGGTGAAGGCTGAGACGGAGGGTGTGGCAGAGGAGCGGTCCAACCGGAATCATGGTGCGGGGGAGTCCCTCCTGACGTAAACCACGGACAAAACGATCCATAATGGAAATAAATCCTTTCTGTGCCTTCAAAAGCCGGGAGCCTCGGAGAACGCCCAAGGTGATGTCCAGCGAGAAGAAGTGAATCTGCACAGCTGGGGACGCCGCTCACCCCGCGCCGGCTTTGCGGCGCCGTTACCTGGACGACAGGGTCTCGCAGACATCCCCCCGCTCTAAATGGGCGGCGTTTCACCGGCTCTCATTTGGATTCTCTGTAATAATTCCTATTTCAGTAGGATGTGCTGGACACGTACTAATGGAGAGCGGTCCTGCTGGGGTCATTCTGGTCTTAAATCTAAGATTCTGTGGGATTCACACAGATAGACACGGCTTCTGTGTAATTTGTGACCCTCTTGTAAAAGTTTAATGCTGTTATGGGGGTTTAAAAAGCAGAAAAAGTCATTCTTTATCCTGGTGTTTGTATTTTGATGTTCCTGATGCCTGGGGTGGGGTGGGGTGGCGGGGGGNGGGGCACAGTGTGCTTAGGTTCCTTTAAAGGTCAGTGTTCAGTCAAAGACACAGTGTGGGTCAGCGGTGTCTGTGCAGTCATTGTCATAAAGGCGGGCGCCCAGGGTGAATGTCAGGGATGCGAGTGGGAGCCATGTGTCTGTGTCTGTGTCTGTGTCTGTGTGTTTGGCTTTTTGTACCATTGAGTTACTTGGGGTGGCTCTCATAAGCTGACCACCTGCGGGCTTAACTGTCCAGTTCATTGTGACACAGTACTCTGGCAAACATGGCCACCCGGAACTCTTAGCATGGATATATATCTCGAAAACCTTATAGACTGCAAAAGCAGTCTCATGTTCCCAGCTGGGTTCCTTGTTTTTCTTCTAACTGAAAAAGGGCATGAAAAAATCCTGTGGGCACCATCAGAATGAAAGAGAAACTCATTATCACCTCCTTTTGGAGATTAAAAAGTCGACTGGCACCTTGGAAAGTGGAAATAGTGGGTTGATAAGCCTGTGGTGTGAGGTGCGAGTCATGTGACCCTGAATGCTCTGACCTGTTGGCTGGATCGATCAGCACCAACCTCTGTGCGTGTGTGTGTGTGTGTGTCCGTGTGTGTATGAGCTCCCTTCTCTTGTTTTTATGCCTTACAGGAAATGAGCTGCTGTACCGCACACGGGATGGGGACGTGGTCCGGCTCAACGTTGAGACCAAAGAGAAGACTGTTTTGGTGGAGAACAAGAAGTTTGTAAGTTATCCTGCTCTCAAACTCTCAAGCCTGGCTTTGGCAGAGGAGTCACATGTCTCTGGGCCCTGGAGCAAGGTCCTTAACCGCCAGCTCCATGGGTTAGGGGTTACCTAGCTTTTTATTGTAGCCATTACAGAAACTAGACTGGTTTAACCTACAGTATGGTCACTACTGTACCAAACTAGTCACTACCCTGTTTAAACCAAAGCAGCCACTGGGTGGTGGGTTAAACTAGCCCCAGACCAACAGGGTGCTGATATAACCTCTCCACCAACTCCAGTGAAATCTATCAGCGCTAACAAGTGGCTTGTTAACATTTCGTCTCGTTACCAAGTGATTGTTCTGCGAAGTGCGGCACCAGGACAGGAATTGCCTAGGTATCAGTGGGGCACGTTATGTTTGCTCGGTGTCAGAGTTGAGAGGCAAGATTAATGGCTCTGTGTTTGCGTTCTGTACGGAGCCATCAGTCATACGCAGCTGCTTAAGAATTGCATTAATGAAAACCTCAAGCGTGGCCAAAAGGTCCTGTCTCTGCTCTCCTCCCCAGGAAATGTACAAAGCCAGCAAGTACCAAGTCTCCCCAGACATGAATTACGTGCTTCTGGCCTACAACGCTGCACCGGTGAGTCACTCATCTGTCTGCCTATTTCCCGAGATTCAGGAGGCTTTTTGTTTTAAAACCCCGCTGAGACGGGACAGGGCGGCATAGGGGCAGAGTGAGAGCGGCTGGGGACCTGATTCTGTCAGCGGACGAGGGCGGCCTTCTCGGCAAACTTCAAACAAAACGAATGATCTGTTACCGTGGTGAGCATCAGTCACTCGAATCCCAGGTGCCAGCTCTCTCGTTCCCCCAAATCGGAGCCCCTCTCTCTCCATCCCCTCGCTCCTCCATCTCTCTGTTGTCTTGATGATCAGTGTGGGGGTAGGAACAGACACCTTAATGCAGCGGGAGACTCTGGCGCGTCCCACATCTCTTGGGCCGGGGGGGGGCACACTTTACATTGTGATACATTTCTTTAAATACGCCAGTGAGGCTGTCATGCCCCGTCCCATGAGAGAGAAGAAGGCCCCCCATCCTCTCCAGGAGGTCAGTGCGACCCTGTGTCGACAAGTGTCCCGAGGGAAGGGTGCCTCATGAACTGGAGAAAAGGGGCTTTTAGGGGGTAACTAATTCATACACCTGGCAGCCTCCCAGGATGCACTGGGGTGTGAGCAGGGAGCTGAATGGGGGGAAATTCATTGTCTTGTTCCTTGCGTTATGGGAATTTAAACATTATTCAGTAGATTACTGTACTGCATGTCCTTGTACATGTAGAATATGCTTGTATTTACATTAAATGTCAACATATGTACCAAAGTTTGTGTATATACTAATATTTAATAGGTGTATATGAATGTTTTATTATCAAAGAAATACTGTTGCACTCTCCTGGCCTTATTGATCATAATATCATGTGACCGCGCATACGATAATGGTCGGTTTGATCTGTCCACATTAATGAATGCGGTGGGGTCATGTGACTCAGTTTGGCTCCTATTTTATTCCTCTTTTAGGTGTATCAGCACTCCTTTACAGCTTTCTACATCATATGCAGCTTGATAACCCCGTACGTACTGTGCTTTCCTTCTAAATATTTCTACATTCAGAATGCTGTTTTATTTCTATCAATATGTAGGTTTTTAAGGACCATCAAAGCAGTTATTTTTGTCTTTATGCAGGTTAAATGCTGATAACACCTGGTATTTAATTAGTTGGCTCATTAAAATGTGGTAATAATCATCAATGTGCATTAACTGTATAAACAGGGTCTTTGGTAAATTATCTGGCCATGCTGCCACCTGGTGGAGGATAAGTGTGCGACAGCCCATCATGGTGTCTTGTGGTCGGTTGGCATTCGCGCAAATGGCTTGACACACTGGGGAGGGGTGTTATCCAACTCGTGGGCAATTGGCTGGGATACCCCCCATCCCCCTGGGGGCTTTTAAATCTCTAGTCCTTAGAGGATGACTGGTTTCCATTAGGTGCTAACTGTACTTGTTCTTTTCAGCGAGACGTGGAACCTTAACCCCCCAGAGGTGCGCAATGCCCAGCTGCAGTATGCGGGCTGGGGACCTAGGGGCCAGCAGCTGGTGAGATTTCCTCCTCCTCCAATGCACCGTTTTAATTTTTTATTTTTTTCCCCCATTATCCCTTTGAAGTACCTTGCTGATAGGTAGTACTGATATTTGCTCCTCCCAGTTGTGTATCAGCACATGGGGGGGTTATTGTGGGGTCATGAAAGCAGTACTGAATGCTGACGTGTAGCCATCCAAGGGATCAGCTCCTGACAGCGGGTTGCTGTTCAGC